GAGGACGGATCAACAAAGATAATTTGGAAGACTGTCAGAAAATAACTCTGGATCCGCTCCTGTCACGTTTTTCTCAGGCGCCCGAGAAACACGTGAGGCCAGCTGGCAATTACAAGGACGATTGCGGGCAGCTCACAATGCAACAAACGAAGTTTTACATTACATTCGATTAACCGACATAAGCGGATATCCTGCATGGATTTTGCCAATGGGGAGGGGACGTCACAGAGATTCAAAAATAAGAAAAAGTAGACGGGGAAAAGATATCTCAATGTACTTATACAGCATAGGGTAACGATGAGATGGGAATTGCTTAGGATTATGTCTTGTTGCATTGAATATTTATCCATTTTTTTTGGTGAGGAGGAAGGGAGAGTGGGTGGGGGGGGGAGGGGGCTCCGAAACAGGGAGGGGGTGTATGTGGCCCAGGGTGACCTTCCCTAGAACAGCTGTTGACAGATGAAGAGAAGAAGAAAGATGAACCAGGGGCGGATCCAGGATTATTTGAAGGGGGACCCACGGATGCGAAGCTGAACTCCCACCCAAGGTGTGGGGTTCGGGGCCCGCTGAAGGGCCCCTAATTTTTTGGTATTTTTAAAGGACAACAGTGCCATTTGTACGGTTTAGAACTATGATTCATCTAGTCAAAATTCAACTTCCAAGAGGTGACCATTGGTGTGATTTTTTTCAGAAATCAAAGGGGGGAGGGGGTTAGGACTCCTTTGACACCCTCCCCTAAAATCCGCCACTGAGAACTGACGTCGCAGAAAGACGAACTGACGTCAGATAAGGATATTTTGAGAGTGAAGAACGAGCACCGATATACCGGTACACTTGACCAAAAATGTTCGGAAAGATGGAGTTGTTTTTCAATAATTAAGAATTATGTGCATATGTAGTGGGTAAATCTCCAGTGCTTACATAAACACGCTGGACAATAGAAGTGTCACCCCCTGAACCAGAGTAATCAAAGTTATAATGCCCGGTCTACTTATAATGTGACTAATGAGTATAAAACCGCTGTACCATGGAATTGTATTGTTGGTCTTTTTGTGAAATTTGATTTTAATAAAACGATACCAGGAACATATCATTCCACAGTCATTTATCTCCACCAAAGTATTAGTTCTATTGTCCAGTGTGCGCAAAAAAGTAACGAATGGTGGTTGTATTATCCGTCATATTTAGTTAAAGTATTTACCTTGTCTCATATGGTTATTTTATAATTATTCAAAATGTCGATTTTCCGAACTTTTTGGGTCGAGCGTACATGTACAATGAAACATACTGAAGCACGCAGTCGCACATGCTTGTCAGCAACAATACCTACTGTTCATTGCAACACGAATATTTAAACGCCCTTTTTATTTTATGGGTTTGTTGGGAACAGACAATAACACTGGAGTACAATGTAACTCAAACAATAGTAATACAATATAGCAAATCAGAATTGAAATAACTTTTTATGTGTTCAAGTTGTCTCTGATGTTATAGGAACGAATAGATTCAACGGGAGCAATTCACAGAAAATTTAGATTTATCGGAAAATAAAGGAGAGACAGAATCACTCCGAAAACACCGTATTTATGAAAGTGTTGACAATAGGAACATTGCAAGCAACTGTCGCATTCGTTTACGGTGTCAACTAGATCTGAAGAGCAACTCACAGGTAATTTACAGTTATCCGTAAATTAAGGAGGAACAAAATTACGGACAACATCGCATTTGTTAAACCCTTGATAATTGAAACATTGCAAGAAATTGACGCACTCGTTTGAGGTGTCAACTATCCATAAATATCGCTATTGGTGGTGTCGTGGCCTGATGAAAATACGACGAAACAATCATATTTGGCACTTATTACGACGGAATAAACGTGCTTGTGGGTTAAGTTTTCCATTTGTAATATACCTAATTGAAGTGTAAAAGGTTGCAAACACTAGCTCGTGACGTAAGCGGGGCATCATTGGGGACCAATTAGTCTCCTTATTGAACAGAAGTGTTGTTTACCTAGGTATTTACATTTAATGTGAATACACCACAAAGCTCTCTACATTCGAATTAAATACACGAAAAGTACGAGGTAATTCTTAATTTCATTTTCCAGTCTGGATTACCAAAGATCGGTGAGCAAAGTGATGGAAACCGTGTGTTGAGACCTAGAAGTTTTAGGAGTGCAGGTTCTCAAGTGGACTTTAGAGGTAAGTAGATAATAATAATAATAATAATAATAATAATAAGTAATCTACCATCTCAGCAATAGAAAATTCAGCAGATATGTTGAAATTTGTTTCAAAAATTGACATGATGCACTTACCCTGTAACCCGTAGTTTTCGTGTTCTTCTATTATTATAACATTTTAATATAACTTTTCATTCATATTGTACATCATCGCCATATCTCAAGTGCCTTTAAATTAATTTCAGTTGAGTTATCCTCCTGATATTAACGGTGTATATTTGCAACTATGAATTGAATGTTTCAATTTGTTATAAGAACACAAACTGCTTTCATTTTCAAAGAGCATTTTATGAATCTGTATTCCACAATACCCCAACATATTTGAGAAACAATTATGTTCGGAAAACGCTGAATGAAAGTAAAGGTGTTGTTGGTCTCCACTCAATGTATAATCAGTATTGCATTGATGTGTGTCCAATAATGTAACGAAAACCCAAGCTGTGTCTTCGGTTCTTATTATAAATTAATGAATTTTCATGTCCACCATGTGTCTATCACGTAGTCGAGAGCGAGTGGCATTCATTAATTAGCCTTACAGTTTATACCGGTACACTTAAAGAGCTCTTTTAAGAGATGAATACAATTGCGCTACAGTGGGTTAATTGTACCCCCTTTCACAAGTTCTCAACCAGTTTATCTCCTGTCATGTTGGTAGTTAATTGGTCGTTTGGAGTGGAAGCGGAAGTTCCGTCTAGGCGACTCTTATACGTTGTCAAAATCTCAAAGTTTATCGGTGTGACAGGAATTGTTTTCCGCTAGGAACCGTAGTCCGTACCCCATTACTTTGTACAGGTGACATTCGTCCAATAAGCTTACTCCAATACCACGACTAATCCTGACCTGTGCTTATCATATGGGACCCTGGACTTCCATTCCTAGGACTACCATTCCTGTCATATCGGTACATAATGTATCGCTTAAAGGGATAATAACTCTTCGTTTTGGCCAAAAAAGAATTTTTCTGGAGTAAACAACACATTTCCCATACTAACCAATGGTTAATGAATCCATTTGTACATTCAAAGTTAGTCCCTAGTTTTTTTCTAAAAAGTTTGCTTTATTGTTATAATCTCTTAAGAAATTTTAACAGAGTATAGCCATCAATGGAGGTCATATGGTCTAAAGACAAGCTCAGATATCAGAATAATAGCTATAACTGCCGGGGTTTTTTTGTAGTACAACAGAATATATTATATTTTTATGAGTTGTTCACAATGTTTTTATTGTGAAATATAGATCTCGTACGAAGAGTAATTATCCCTTTAAGTATTCCACTTGGTGTGTTTAGAACAAAAGGGATGCTTGGAATCTAATTCGTCAGGTTGATATCTCTAATAGAAACCCTGACAAAAACGAGAGAAAGCAATTACAGATACATTCAAAGTTAATTTCTGCGAACAGTATCTGTATTGCGGAAAAGCAATATCTAATATTGAATTGACTTGATTTCGGCACGCGTGTGAAATGAATAATTATTTCTGGACCCCATTTGCGTCATTTATGCTATATGAAAAACGTGCTAATATCATGGAAATGATGGCAATACGGTAAATTGTCACATAAGCACTACATGATCTGCTTTATCACACAACTACGCACTTTTACACATCTCATACATACTCCATACAGCCTCTATTCAGCGACAATGCTATAATTACAACCAGAATGTTATTTTATGACCTCCAGCAAACAATCAATCATAAATGCCTCATCGGAATACTGATACGGATGTTGCAGACTGCGATATAAATATTCCTTTCATAAAATAGAAACAAAAAACGTCTGAATCCTCCAACGAAGAGAAAGTTATTTAGCCGAAGCAAAACGAAGACGAAATTAAAGCCGATGCAAAATCTCGGAATCGTTTGTTCGACGATTATAGTGATTATACATAACAACCACAATCTTTGATTATCTCAAATAATGATTTTAATATTCCGATGATTACCAATATTTGTGCTTTATTACAGCAAGGGCTCAATCCAAGCTATCCGATCACGTGACACCCATATGCTTACAAGGTAAGGCACGTCGTGTATAAACTGCATTTCCCAAATGTCAGGGCAATCGGTGGCTTTATCATCTGACTAACTGCCAATCAGAATTGACCGGGCAATCTTTTGTCCACGGGAACAAAAGCAACACGTTTTCTACGAGAGCTACCGCTTTAATTGACATTCTTAGACATATTCTCGGACATCGCTTCTGCGTCAGTGTGCTTGGCGCTTCTGCCTCTGCATGGTTAGATGCGGGCAGTGTATAAGATAATTTTGCAGACAATCATCTCATCAGTACGTTATCTCAATGCGTTTCTGTGATGTTGCCAGCAGGCAAAGCAATCGCCATTGGCGTCGTCTTGTGTTCGCTGTGTATAATCGGGTCCTTGTCTTTAAACATTACAAGCGTAACGCCAACAACATTTCCAACGTCCGCAGATAGGACTGAAACCATTGCTAGCGTTACAGATGAAGATGTTATGCCTGCAGCCAACGTTTTAACGCCAGACGGTTCCCTCGATGATCCTGACGATGTAACATCCAGTACCCAGAGGACGAGGGGTGCACGTGTAAACCTCCAAAATCTAGGACAGACGACGGAGGTGACTTCGGCGTCAACTTCGTTGGTGGAGATAACATCAAGTCGAATCAAGGCAAACACCACGCCAAACAGCAGTCCGATGTCGGGCACACTTTCACCTATGGCACCAACAAGGAAGACGAAAACCTTCGAGGAAAACAGTACTCGAACACCCGTTAAGATGCGAAACATTACCTTGGCCATCTTTTCGGAGATCGATGTGGTAGAAGGCTATAATAGCGCTGGGATCAACCCCGCTCTTGAGCTGGCCATTTACGACGTCAATAAGAATGACTCCGTGCTGCCAGGGTTCTATGTGGACTACGTGCTAATGGACACTAAGGTTTGATTCCCTTTATTGTTTTTTATTTCCTTTAATATTCAATATGCGTGATATTGAAATGACGATGTGGTTTTCCTGATGAGTAAGTTGATCTTCATATTTTGTTTCTTCAGTTTCTTTTGGTGATGTAGTTTAACATTTGCACAGTTGGTTGATCACATAAATAAATAAATAAATAAATAAATATATAAATAAATGAATAAAACATTTTTTAATATAGTAATTAACGAATAACAATAAAAAAATAAATAAATAAATAAATAAATAAATACTCAAAAACTATTTATATATCATTCATTATTGTATTATATTCAATGTTTTTCTGGTCTCGCCTTTTAAGATGTCTTCTTTCCTGTTTCAGTGTAACGAAGGCGTGGCCGCCGCAGCCTTAGCAAAGATGCTCCAACAACCGCCACAGAAGATCATGGTGATCGGAGGAGGCTGCAGTGTTTCCACCCAGGCCACTGCACAAACATCCCCATTTTTCAATCTTGTTCAAGTAAGTGTATTAATAGGGACGTTGTACGGGATTATGTTTATGCCACGAAAAAAAATGCAATTGGAGATTTATCAATGAAAATTTTGTAGTGTTGAAGGGTTTCTGTACCGTTGAGGTAAATGTACGAATTTTAACACGTCGACGAAGTCAGGATATGATTTTTTGGGTTCTAAGTTTCTAATTTGTGGGACACTCTAGTTATTGAGGTTGAGCCTCGTGAATTGCACTCGTAACAGCACGTGCAAATTTGAATTTAAGAGCTGTAGAATAAGGTTATCGTCAAAATTATTTCAACGGCGGTTTTGGAAAATTATACTAAGGTAATTGAGGGATAACTATTGAATTTTCCTGGAAAGTTAATTTTTGGCTATATTTTAATGGTCATATACGCACATATTTAGTGGCTGGACTTAATAAGACTGTTATTCTTGTCCACGTGTACAATGAGAGCAAGAGATAAGTGTACGCACTCTTACGTAATTTTATGAGAGTTCTGAATATTTTCTAAAAGAAAATTTATGAAGAAGATGAGAAAAAAGAAAAAAAAAAAAAACAAACGAAGAAAGTAGGCTTGATATACTGTTATTATTTCAGAGTGGCTGGATTACAAAATGTGATGTTGCGTGCCGCTATAGGTAGTATTTGAATATTGTTGTTAAATCTATTGGAATACCGCTAGGAATCACGCAAAGTCGAATGGGAAATGTCTGTCTGTCTGTGTTTTGGTTGAACTTGTAATTGATCGGAACCTAGTTAATTCAAAACTATTCAGTACAGGACCATCTGGATTTAAGTTATCGGAGGTCAGAGACATGCGAATACGTATCCTTTACCTCCATACAGATTTTTCAATCAGATTCTAGCTGTTTACTGTTAGTTAGCTCTGTTGAATTGACCGAGTCTCTAATCGAATTACTCCCGCGTGGTGTAAAATAGTTCGCTTTGTTGAATGTATTGTCAATCCGAATGACCCATAAGACAGAATTGAGAAGAACGCATGAGATATTTGACTCACATGTGACGTGCGCAGAAGGAAAAACAATTTCCTGAATAAAGATATCGGAGAAAAAACAGGGGCGGATTGAGGCCGTCTTCTGGGTCTTCCGGAAGACGGTCAGATTTTCAAGTTTACATTGACGGGTATCTATTTTTTTTCTGTCGGAAGACGGTCAAAAATAGAGGATGGATCAACAAATATAATTTGGAAGACTGTCAGAAAATAGCCCTGGATCCGCCCCTGAAAAAGGAAGGCAACAACATAAAAGTACAATGCTGCCTCGCATGTTCTAATTCCGTTCATACCATATGTTTTTTCTTTTCTTTTTCTTTCTTTTTTTTTCGCGACATGAATTTAACACCAATCATTAATTATTCCAGATATCATACGCCGCAGCGCGAATCAAACTATCAAGAAGAGACATCTATCGGACGTTTTGGAGAAACATACCAACAATGTTGTCGCACTTCATAGGATATAAATTCATCATAAACTATTTTAAGTGGAAACGGGTGGCCACCATTGGGTACAAATGTGAAGAGGTGTGAAAAAATACGATTTTTGTAAAAAAAAACATGGTGTTAAATTAATTTCTTTGTCTTGTAAAATGGCCTTTGATAATAATGTAAAATGTCGTTTGATAGCTAAGAATTTATCCTTTAGCAATTATGAAGGTCTAGCACTGATTTGAATACGCTATATCAATTTTATATCAATTAAATTCTTCTTACATAAATGTAGTATCTAAGAATTTTGAAAAAAAAAACAACTTCAAATCACGTTTTTAATAAATCATAATTTAAAACATTTCTTACCCACTTTTCAGGGCCTGATAACTCTTCACGAGCTTTTTAAACGCAGCGGCATAGAGAACATTGCCTACCACACCATTGACGAGGGCGGCGAACTCTCTGACGTGCAGATGCAGGATTTGAAGGCACGCTGTAGCAAACATACATACAAACACACTAACAAACATACCTAGGACCCAACATCTTCTTTCCTAGCACACACACACACACACACACACACACACCTCTACCTCCTTCTCCCCTTTCATAACTAACCCAAGTTTCACAGTTGTCTTTTCCATATTCTCATTTTGATACATACTGCCTCATTGACAGTAAAGCAGGAATTTTATTAATGTCATTCTGTTTTCACCCAAGTTTCACTGACGTCACAGACAAGCTCTTCATTTTCACGTCTTACGGCAAACACTGAGAAACGCCCCATTGATAGTGAAGTAGAAATCTTATTAATATGGAGATGGGAATTTGAAAAACAGAGAAGATTCTACGTGTTAGATGAGCAAAAATGTTCATTTGCTTGGTAGTTGGATTATAAATGAAGCTTACGGTAAACAGATCTCACATATCAGTCTGATGAAGGCCTACACCCAGGTTGGCCGTAAGCTAACAGTATAAAAGATTTTCGGCTCGTGTTTGATAATTTTCATTTATGTTCCACGTGTTAGTTTTCAACCTAAGACTGCCTTTAAGCACAACGCCCCTGCTTGATATTTTTGCCCCAGTTTCATAGACGTACGTACGTCACGAGCAGGTTCTTCATTTTCACATCTTCACATAAATGTCTTCGAAGTACCTCCACGATAGTGAAATGGGAATCTTATTGATTCGGAGCTTTGAAAATGAAGAAGCTGTTTTACCTTGAGCAGTTTCTTCAGTTTTAACTTCTAGATAGTGTGATAATTATGACGTAAAGGGATGTGCGTGTAAGTGATTTGATGAACTTGCTGTCAGTTTCTCACATCAACATAAAGTAATGAATATTATGAACATTGTTTCAAGAACGAAGGTTCTTTTATCAATAGCTGTCCTTAATATACTTGTATAGCAAGAGATAAGATTTACCCACTCCAATATTACATCAACGTGCATATCTGTTAGGTTTCCACGGGGAGAAATACAAAGCAAAAGAAACTGTTCAGCGTGTCATTTCACATTTGTTTCAGAATCCGCTACAAACTATTCACCGATTTTTTTTTTCAATTGCAGAACCGTGACGCACGTATCATAATATTTGATGGATATGAGCAGACATTGCGCAAAATCATGTGTAAGGTAAGTTTCTTGTTCCCCACATGCTCTATGGAATCGCCGTAACACCATTCACTCTGGCACTTACTCCCGTAAAAAAACAAGTTGTCGTTCATCTTAAATAAACTGATCACAGCTGTGATTATAAATTTACATGGTGTGACAGGAATGGTAGTCCTAGGAATGGAAGTCCAGGATCCCATATGATTTGTACAGGTTAGGGTTAGTCGTAGTATTGGACGAATGTCCCCTGTACAAAGTAATAATGGGAAATGGACTACGGTTCCTAGCGGACAATATCTGCCACACCTGCCATATCGGTCTACCCAGGGGCGGATCTAGGATTATTTGAAGGGGGTTGGGTTCGGGGCCCTTCGGTGAACCCCAAAAAAGGTTGGTATTTTAGAGGGCGAACGGTGCCATCTGGTAAGGTTTACAACTATGGTTTAGCTAATCAAAATTCTAATTTCAAGAGGGGACCAATGGTGTGATTTTTTCAGACATCGAAGGGGGGGGGGGGGTCAGGACTCCCCTGACACCCACCCCTAAATCTGCCACTGGGTATACCGATAGGGGTGGAGATTTACAGCATTGGATAAATCGTAACATGATCTACCTAACGAATGAAAAATAGATAAAAGGCAGATAAAGTTATGTAAGAATGATGTTAACTCACACGATGGACAGTTTGCACTGTAAAATGCAGTTTCAGTCACTATTGCTATGTTAAATTCGTTCATATGTGATTGTTTTGACTAATAGAAATTATACTATGTTCACTCCAATGCCTGTAAACTTCATCATTTTTTAACCTCCATACTTACATGAACCTGTCTGACTTTGGTATATTGGCAGCCATGGCCATGGCGTTTGGAGTTTACTAATTAAGCCAATTACAGATGTCTAGGCATCTAGACATCTGGCTTCCGTAGTTCATTGGTGGTTGGTGCGGTAAACTTGAATTAACTTGCGTTAACAAGTGAGCATTAAAAAAAAAAAAAAAAAAAAAAACATGGCCAATTTGTGCATTGGTTGTGCAACTCAGGCAATATATACATGCATATATATGTATCTTCTCATGGTGGTAGGCTTATCGTTTTGGCATGAGCGGTGGAAAAATCGTATGGATGTATTTCGGGTGGTTCAATTATGATTGGATGCTGATCAATGATACGTCATGCCACGCCGATGAGATCAAAGCTGCCGCCGAGCACGCGCTGACCTTGAAGGAGATCATGACCTTTGAGGAGTTCACCAAAGGTCGACAAACCGTGAACGGTCAGGTGAGTTTATTTGGGAGGGAGTCTAGAAGTGTTATAACATTTGATAGTTTTATTAGTGAAGAATTACACCAGCTGTGCTATGTTATACAAGTAAAGTTATTTTTACTTTCATCAACAGATGAATGCTGAAATTATTTACCTCCAATATTTCGATGTCTATCAGAGCATCTTCATCAGGTTAAATATATTAGCCACTACTCAGGAGATATTCTTGTCTCCCCATTTCATACTTAGCTGTTGATTGAGAAAAAATACTTTATCTTTATGGCAGTTTAGGTCAATTTTGAAGAAATCAGAATTATCCTCTAGTAGGCCTACACCGTACGTCATAAAGGTTGTCGCACCTTCAATCCCACGTACCAGGGGTACTTCTGTTTACACAGCTTAAATTTATTGCATATTCATTCTTGTCTCAGAACTCTTCAAGCCACGAGATAAAAAAAATATATTGATCATAGTTTTGTATTGTATTTTACGTCTAGGATTACTCTACCTATGAGAGGAGATATAAGGAGTGGCCAAGTTATGCTGAATACGGACTGAACGAGTATCATGCATATGGATACGATGCCATATGGGCCGCCGTGTTGGCTATGCATTCCGCTATGCCCATTATTGCACAGCAGGTACTTTACATTTGTATTTATGTTTATATATTTAAATGCATACAATGTGGATTACATCTTTGAATTAAAAAAAAGATAAAATGAATAAAGAAATATATTTTTAAAAAGACCAAATAAAAGGAGAAGATCTAGTAATTTCAACAATACCGGTATTTTCTTAATCGCCGTTTGGTTTTTCCCAATCAGGAAATTCAAAATAAATTAAGATCTGTAAAACGGGTATTGAGTTCATGTTCGTAATATCTGAGTCTCTCTCGTGATGTAAACAAAGACTGGTGAATTTCACTTGCAACGTAAAAATAAATTTAATGAAGAAACTGCAGTGCCACCTGGATAAACCAAAGCCCGTTGATAGATAACCGCGTACTGGGGAGGCCTGAAGCGGTCTTCTGGGTCTTCCAGAAGACGGTCAAATTTTCAAGTTAACATTGACGGGTATCTAATTTTTCTGTCGGAGGACGTTCAAAAATAATTTATAAGACTGTCAGGCATTTTCTCTGAATCTGCCTTTCTATTTATTATTCAGAATGTCACAGAGATTATAGACGGGGAAGTCGTGACCAGGCCAAAGCGCCTCGATGACTTCACGTACGAAGACAGCCACATGCTGCAGGTGTTCATGAAGGAATTGGACAAAACCAACTTCACAGGAATGACGGTCGGTATGAGTGAGAAAACAAGCTGTACAGAAGTTCCATTGGGAGGGGACTAGTGGTCACAGTTCACGGGGAATAAAATCATCAATTCACAAATCACGGGAAAGAACCTGACCTCTGTCCAAGGGGAAACATTTATTCACTCTTCATAAAAAAAAAAAAAAAAAATGCAATAAGTGCGAGTTAAAAGTCGCGAATCACAGAATGTAATTATTTCATTTCAAGAAGGACAAAGAATAAAAAGTCGCATTCACTAATCACGGGAATGGGGTGTTTCACTAATCACGTTGAATAAAATAGAGGTTTCACGATCCACGGGAAAAAAAGTGGTTTTCACGGGCAGTGAAAATACCCACTGGGACCCTCTGTGTATACACCAAATCTGAATTATTGGTATTCCGTTTGTTTAGTTTTATATCAAAATGATCGGTTACTCGTTCAAACATATCGATTCCAAGCCGTTATCTTCTGCATGTTGAAATTAAGCTTTGTTTATTTATCTTTTCTCTTTATTTAAATTTCAGGGTCCAATGATGTTTTATGAGAACGGTAGTAGACCCTGGCAGTTGGAGGTTGCTCAAGTACAAGGTATTGTGCTGCCATCTAACGTATGTTCATGATCATTGTTTAGCCACCTAGTGTGCATTTACTGGTATGATCATTGTGTTGCCATCATAGTGTCGGACCAGCTCCGTCATTTTAATATATATATATATATATATATATATATATATATATATATATATATATATATATATGTATTTAAAATTTCTCGTATGTGCCCACTAGATATCGAAATTGCCTGCCAAATGGCGACCACTTTTATCATAGTGGCGCTCTTGTTAATACATGTATATGTCACTACAGTCACTGCGTCGAGTGTGACGCTTGATATAAAACTGATTCCCTAATTAAACCACATTGAAAAAAAAAATACAACTGAATAAATGTTTATTTCAGGTTCAGTACAAGTGGTAGTCGGCCGTTACAACGAGATCACCAGAAAAATCTACATCAATGATTCCATGCTGAAGTGGCTCGGTAGGTGGCTGTTTTTTAAAAAACTTATTACATAAGATATAGATACTAAGTTCAATTTGTACTTGTGTCTATATTTACTTCTGAAATCTATAGAAAGACAGTCTAAACGTGTCTGGCCAAGAATTTAGAATAAGAGTTTTTAATTAGAAAGAATCAAAGTGCACAAGCATGGACTTGATGAAGTCGAAGAAAATTACCATTTTTTTCTCATAGCAAATTTGATTTGGCGCGAAAATTCCGGATAGATTACCTATATCTCTTATAAATCGAAAAAACTATAGGGCTTATCTGTGAGCCACAAGGAAGCAAGGTATACATGTAAGTGTGTGTGCGTGTGTGTGCGTGTAGGGGAAAACCACGTGTCCTCTGGACTAAGTGGATCCGATTTTGATCGCGTTCAGATTCAAGCACCGTATCAGCTGGATCGATCCAACCCTGATTGGGGATTCTCGCTAAATCGCATTCTGTGTAACCATGCTTAATTGTCATACACGCCCCCCCCTTGCTTAGCTACTTAATTAGTTAAAAGCAACTTGAGGAAGCATGTCAGACACTTAAGCCGATTACAGAGATTGCAATTAAGGAAAATCTCCTGCAGAGATGGACCGATCCAGTTGTACGATGGGTTTATCTGAACGCTCCCCATGTTGATTTTTTCTAGGCGGGAAGGTGCCACCAGACCATACGCCCGTCGTTGTGACCACCTCCTACGTCAACGCACTCCTTGCCGTCGTGATCACCAGCCTTGCTGGAGTCGGAGTTCTAGTGGGGTTGTCTTTACTGGGTTTCAACGTAATGTTCAGGGAGCACCGGTGCGTAAGAGAGTACACTAAATCCCATTGCTGTATATCGATAGATTGTTGATCTCACTGTAATGATCTTAGTTAAAATCGACATTTAATTAGTTATTTCAGTTCTGCTGCATTCACAGATAAGCCATCTTCTTGACAGGGATAAGGTAATTGGCGGAATTTATAGATCTGTTATCAAATACTAGTTTTATGAAATGACTCTTACGATATTAAGTACAATCGCACACGTGTGTGCAGGAGTTCACGCAAATGCACACGCACACAAACACGCACTCACAAGCACACTTCCGAAATGTAAAAATTTTGGGAATTTTTTATAATTGTGTTAATTTTAAAGTCGTATCTTTGTTATTCGTGGTCAAAACAGATGTTTTTGTATTTGAGTGGATATGATGAGCCATAATATATGAAAAGGTTGCCAAGTGATTATTCCCAGAACTCGGCTTCAGATTATATTTGTGTATCGGTTCACTTACAGTACATTCGAATATTCGTTCATTTATTTGTAAGACATTTCTTTTCAATTGCCATAGACACATCAAGCTCTCGTCGCCAAATTTGAATAACGTGATAGTGAGTGGTTGTATCGTGGCGTTTTGCTGTGTGCCGTTCGCTGCCTTAGATACACGTCTTGTGCCTGCTGAGAGCATGCCAATAATATGTATGGTGAGTTTTTTTCTAATACTACAAAAAAAGGACTTTATAAAATAAATTTAGTATCCGGTGTTTCGGCGTTGTGAAATACAGCAGGATAAGTCAAATTGGCGATTTTTTGGATTTTTCTCCAAGACAGCGATTCGTTTGATGCCTTACCGAAGCAGGTTTTGCAATATTTCGCTTGTTCGCTGGTCTTCATTTTCAGTTGTCTTCATTTCATTTCCAGAATCACGTTCAAATTTTATTAGACACGTCAGAGTCCCATAATTGACACCTTTCATCACAGTTATTAGTTTTAAGTATAGAGCGTTAATACAGAGGTAGTTATTGTGACATATTATATCAATCATTACACAAGTACCATACCACAATTGCAGGTAATGGTTCATCTCAACCCAATTATATTAAGCGTTCGTGTCAATTGTGTTAGGCAATTCTATGGTATAAACTATAACTAGATACATGTAATTATAGTTTATGAAGGCGTCATGACATAATGGTACCAACGCAGCGGACTCATAATGTTGGTTGATCGATGCAATATCACTTTGTTCGTAAATTAACTATTTAGCTCTGTTTTGGCGACCGTTTCAACGTTTGGTGGTCATTTCTACCAAGAGAGGCGTGTTTATGTGGTCTTCGAAAAATCACCATGAAAATAAAATAAAATATGAAATTTAGACGTGGAAAGCGAAGAAGAAAGCGACTACTTTATTAACTGTTGTTGACACAAACAGGTCTGGTTTTCTGTTTCAGCTCTCTGGCTGGTTGCTGTCCATAGCATTTAGTCTCGCGTTCGGCGCCATGTTTGCCAAGACATGGCGTGTTTATGTGATCTTTGGAAACAAGTCGGGGAGAGTGAGAAAGGTAGTAGCGCAATTTCATGTTTTATTTTGAAATGGTAAAGATCATATGTTACTTTGAATTGCGAATTACGTGGAATACGAAGAGAGATGGAATTTACACTGATCGCATAGGAAAAAAAATGCTTGAAGATGTAACAATTGTCTCCCATTATCAAACTTCGTTCTTTTAAGGAAATCAGTGTTGCCCCATGAAATGTTACTCTCTACCAGGGTGGCAGATATTATAGGGTAAACCTTGGCAAATGACTGTCTATTTATCTGAAGACATATCTTGTGAAAAATCAATCTGTCGCCCTTGTAGAAGGCAATCAAATGTCATGTCATGCCCATTGCCGTATCTAACAATGTTGGTGACACTGGACTTCCACCAGGGGCGGACCCAAAGATATTTTCTGACAGTCTTCCAAATTATCTTTGTTGATTCATCCTTCATTTTCGACCGTGTTCCGACAGAAAAAATTAGATACCCATCAATGTAAACTTAATATCTGACCGTCTTCCGGAAGACCCAGAAGACGGCCTAAATCCGCCCCTGTCCACAATTCTCTGTGTCTAGCTTTCTCGACCAGCGTCCTCTTTAGAGAATATACCTCTCCTCTTTGAATCCATTCATTTAGAATTTACATTCAAAGTATCTGCTGTATATAGTACCTAAAGTCCCATCGAATACTTGGTTTATTTTCATCATCGATAAAAAAACTGCTGTTTTAAAAACTTTGCATTTGGGGATACATTTAATGAGAAATATTTCACCGATGCCCTATTTTTCAGCCTCTTCACGACAAGCACCTGTTGCTGTGGGTGGCTATTTTGGTTATGGTGGACGTGGCCGTAATGGCGTCATGGGCATTAATTGATCCAATGAAGCTGGGTTCGGAGAACGATACTGCAACGGTGGGTATACACTAAGAGATTTAGGACGGCAAAGCGAGGCTAATATTTTAATATTTAAAATTAGTTAATGGGGAAGATTTTACTTTAAGAAGAAAAAAATAATCGTTTTTGTCTCGTTTCACTTTTAGTATACACTGTTTTGTTTCTTAGATCGCATTCACAAAATAAAAAACACACCCACACGTAATGTTTTCTCAGCCCGTGTGAAGCAATGTTTGACCGCATTCACAACGATTTGAGCCAGGCTTTACAAATCCTGGGGTCTAAATATGGNGTGAATGCGATCTTAGTATCCCTTTGTTTCATTTTATGAACTGGGGTATGAATATGTGGTTTGAGTTTAGGCCTACGACCAGAAATGTAAAGAAGGCGAAGTTTTAGTCTTTTTTCTCCCTTTACAAAGTGGTTGATTTGGGTTATTTTTGGCATATGGATTTTATTTGAGTTTCTATGGAAACTGCTAATGGTAATTTGTATGCGTTGCATAAAATGCGCAAGGCTGTGCCCTTGCTCTCTGAGGCCGCATTCAGAACAGTGGACTAACTTTTTCCGCGGGTCAAATATCGCGTTCCGCTAACAGACACTGAATAGATTCCCCTTGGGGAAGTAGTTCAAGTGGGTCGGCCATATTTGACCCTCGGTCTAGTTAATCCACTGTTCTTAATGCGGCCTAATTAATTATTTAATTAATTTTAGGAGAACGAGGAAGAACGTCTAGTAGTTAGACACGAGTTCTGTGTATCGGAACTGATGACCTATTGGATAGGAGGGTTGTTCGCGGAGAAGGTGCTGTTGCTGCTACTGGGATGTTTCCTCGCCTTCGAGACAAGAAAAGTCTACGTTCCCGAGTTGAATGATTCTAAGTAAGTGATACTGCGTTGAAAAACTCTAGAATTAAAGGCAGTAGTTTCTTAAAACTTTCATGTTGTGCGCTTCAGATTCATGCTTCGGATTCGGTCTAAAACTAAAATAAAGAGTGGTTTACTCTCCGAAGCTGACCGTATTATATAAATTGAAGGTATAAAATAATGTGATTAAAAGAAATAAACCTTCATGACACTACTGACAACGCAAAATGTACATTAATGTCTGTCAACGTCCAGCCACCTGCTGCATACAACACAGACTAAAGCATTTATATCATTCTTGTCCCCTCTCTTGTTTACCATAGAAGGACCAGAATCAAAAGTTTCTCGTTTGCACTGTATGGTCCGTGATACATTAAAAACGTACAACATAACTGTTTTTGGCTTCAGGTTAAATGTTTTCTCCTGTTGGAAGTTCAAATACCTAAAACTTAGCTGCATTTATCCGTCATATTGTTTACAAGAAAGTGGGAAGGCGCTCCTGGTATTTCAGGCAGGGTATAAAGCTTTTGTATAATCAGCATCAATTCCTTAGACTTTCGTCGTCTGGGGGAGTATTTTAGCCTTCTTTGAACCTAATTCAGCCTCTTCTTATCCTTGTACAGGTATCTAGGCATGTGTATCTACAACACCTGTGTTTTGTGCGGAGTGGGCGCCGCCGTCGGCATGATTATGTCAGAGAGGCCATCCATCGCATTCGCTTTCTCCACAATCAGCATCATAACCTCGGCCGCCATGACTCTGGGGTTACTTTTTGTTCCCAAGGTAAAGTAAGGGACCGTTCCCAGACCTTATCGTACTAGTTGTGGATCGATCCATCTCCAAGGGGTTTCTCGATTAATTGCGTTCAGTTGAAACGGCTTAAATGACTGTCACGCCTATTGAAGGTGCCAGGGGATAATTAATTATCATTAAGCAGCTTCAGTAGGTGTGCCAGACATCTAAGCCGCTTAAGCTGCAAGCAATTTAGCGAGAAACCCCTTGGAGATGGAACGATCCTGTTATAGCGATCTAGATATGGGAACCCAGTCTTAAACATATGACATAGACCACATTCCCACAGACACCATTTTTTCTTAACTTATGGTGCGAAATCGAATGGATTGGCCATTTTCGTGAAAGTCGGAAAAGGAGTCGGCCAGCGTATGCGCCTCTGCCTTCCCGCTGTGCGACTTTACACGTTAACGTTCGTGATCGCCTATTGGAAATAAAAAAGAAATAAAATAAACTAAAAATAATAATAATTAATATAAACGACAATCGTCTCTTACTCCTCATATGTTTAATCATTCATATTATTTATTTTTTCTCACTTTTGAATATTACAGATCAACTTTGTCCGTAGAGATCCAACGGGGGAATTGGGGCAGGGAGAATCGTCCACTTTCAACGCCAGCTTAAAGAACGCGGTCAAAGAAATGCCGTCCTGCTCGTCCATCACCGATAAAAGTGATATCGGTGGCAATAGCACTACTGCCAATCCAATCTCTTCAAACTCTCGGCCTTCTGCTAAGCGGAACTTCAGCGATAAAAAATCGTCAAAAAGCCAACGCTCAGACCCTGTGGAAACAATTTACGTTCTGAATCCTCTCGACGCTATGCGCATGCTCAATCCATCCCTCTCCCTTTCGTCGACAGTTGACATGACCGTGACATCCGGGTATGCTGGGAGCGTGCCGGGTTCGGGTCTCGTCGAGAAAACTCGGTCTTCTCCGCTGAATGACGCGTGCAGTTCAACGATGAGCATCACACTTAACCGGCACGTGCAAACATATACTGCAGACGCGCCCTCTACCGGGTTTGGAAATCTGGAAACGATCCACGAAGAAAGCAGGATATAAAGGAGGATTTTGAAACACCCCTTGTTTTATACCAAGCTATGTAGGATCTTAGTATAATTATATAGGCCTATACTGTACACATGTACCATACCAGTATCAGTTAATGTTTATTCAACACGAACTTTTTATCGAGTAGAAGGCACACTTGTATTTGTATTGTTATTGCTTCTTATTACGAAGGGAATTCGTATGTGTTGTAGCGAATAGTTTTATTTTAACCTAGAACGAGTCTGTATCCTACTGGTAAAGATAATATTATCTTTACGAAAGTTTCCTATAGACCGTCGTGTAGGAATCTTTAGGAATCCTATGTGACTACATAAGAAGAATTCTGTCGGATGTCCTGTAGGATTCCAATCTAGGAAACGTGACCTTTAGGATCTTATAGTCATTTTGGACCAACTTCCTATAGGACGTTCTCAAATACATCATTCATACAAGACAAGCCGGGTTTTTGTTACCGTTACTAGTACTAATATAGGCGAAACTGAAACGAGTTCCATAATAAGCAAAGATACCAGATCATTTTACAGGAGTAATTCCATGTTGTGGGGTAATTTACATATATTTTTGTATTATCTGATTTTTTCCATACGCAAAAACCGCAGGTCGGTATTTTGAATTGACATATTAGCTTAACTTATTGATAACCCAATGTTGATGTGATAATATATCTGACCCGGAGCGCTTTTAATCATATTGCAATCTTAGGTCCACAGACTGAGAAAAAAAAGCTTAGGGGAGGTGGGGGGGGGGGGGAGGGCAATTGTTAATGGTCTATTCTACTTGCAAACAGGCTATTCGTGCCGCCTTTGGTTCACGTGTCTATCCAGCCTGTATCAAATTTTAGCGACGTCTGAAGGACCGGGAGAGAGGACAAGTTTAGCACTTTTAGCAAAAAAAAAAAAAAAAAAAAAAAAACATGTAAAATAAAATGTAAAATAACTAGGGTGGGGACAATTGCCATCCCTCCTCGCCACCCACGGCCTACGACTCTGTCTAAAACGAACCCCTCTGACTTAATGATATGATTTAAATATCTAAAAAACGAGTATTTTGTGAAGTTTTGGTCTGAAGTTGATATTAGGATATCGTGTTAAGGTTATGTAGCATATTAAGTGTAATTTTTACGGCACATTTGCTTACAGTAAATCACATGTAATCGCATGCATTCCCAAGTAAATTATCAAACTCACCCACACATTCATTTGGTATTATATATAGAGAAAAAAGTCATTAAGCATCTTGTAATTGAACATTCACAAATAAATTTCTTTTCTTGCCACTGAAATTATAAACCCAGCACAACCTGCTAAGCTACCGATTGCATCAGAGAAGACTTCTTTTCCCACCAGATGGAGCTTTAGGAACTAGTTTGTCAAACAGCGAAAACTACTCGGTAGACAGCGTGCAGTGGACCTCATTTGGATAGCCAGTGACCTACATAATGCAATTTTGTTTTAGGGATGGGTAAGGGTCTGGGATATATTTACTCCTTGGATATTTTGATTATGTCGAACACCAATGCGTTTTATATATTTTGAATCTAGTAAATTTTTAATCAAGTTACATCTGTCAGGTAGTGGTGACTGTTGAACAGAAAAAAATGGTTACTTCGGCCTACCTCGCCCCCCACAATACTACATGAACCTACCCTCTGAAAAGAGACGTGACTACTTCACTTCTAAGTGACCAGGGAATGGACACAAGGCGATCGAGATGCTTCTAAGTATGGAATATTATTTCAATTTCAACCGATTTGAACAGCGAAACCGTGTAATATATTTAACCAGTATGTTGAGTTTGTAATGATGATGCATTTGTGATTCTCATTTTGAAGGTATTTTTTCTGGTATGCTAGCTTACAACGGATTTGAGTCATTCCCCAATATTTTCCCCACGTGACATTTGGTTCCTCCATTACGTCTTCGTTTCTTCACGTCTCATGAAAATTGCAGTTGCACCTCGTGTTTACCTCCAGTATTTTGAAGTACGTTGTTAGATATATAGCAAAGGTAACAAACGGTTTACGCTGAAAATTGTCACGTACACGTGAGGAAATGTTGTGAAGTGACCAGTTTAAAATCTTAGCCATTGGCATGTTGACATTTATAGTACGTGTATTGAGAAGTTAATAGTAAAATGCAATATACTAGTAGGTATAAACATATAATTCCACTTCAAAATTATAGAGTATTACATAGGCATATTGGTTTACTTCAGTTTGGACTTGAGTGTGATTTCACAAAAAAATTTATAATGCTTCAGTCGGTGAAAATATAAAAGCGGAATTACAACTATGATACATGTAATTACTGTGACAGACTTTAAAATCCACTCTGTAAGGCATAAAGGATTTCAGTCTTGCTTTTGGCACTTTACTTTTCAATGCTTACAATTTCAATATCACGCTATTCACAAAAGTTCAAAACTCTTTTTTTCAAAGGCATTTTCGTGCCATTTTTAATTTATGACGTCACGAATTTAGCAGAGAAAATATTGAATTTTTGAAATCTGGCATATTTTAGTTTGCGATATCATCTTTTTCTGATAAATAAATCTGTCCCTTATGCCTTGATACATTCTTTTTTAATGAAAAGTTTACGCGTGTTGCATGGCATTTTTAAAATGGTATTTTTGGAGATGTTCTTTAGGAAGACAGCAATCTTTGTCTGAAGGTTTAATTCTATGGCGAATAAAATATTTGAAAAACGTGTTTTTGCTAGCTCAGAAAATATTAAGCACCGTGGGCATTTTAATCTTAAGTTTGAGCCCAACATAAGAAATACTTCTATAAAGCCATGAAATTAGATATTTTTTGCTTCCTGGAAATATGCAGTTCGCGCTGGAACTTTATATTGACCAAATTCCGATTTTTTCATTCGTCAAAGTTTTGGCTGTTTAACATTCTCGTTTTTGACATCCGTAGTTGAATTCAGTGTGCAAAATTTCATTACAAGCGCGACTGGTGACATTAGAATCTTAGAAGTTAAAAACGTGGTGTTAAAAACCTTGGTGTTTGTTTGAAGTTTAATGTTAGAATGAAAAGAAATAAAAACGATCAAGTCTTAATCATGCCTCAAACCTTGCTGTCTTCCTCAGAATAAAATATCTCTTAAGTTTTCATTTGCGAAACTTTTCTGACTAATAAAGTCTGATTGGCGAATATAAGTGTAGTTGTTTTACTGTGCGTAGAATGGGAAAGAGACTTTCTTAATATTTTGGTACTCATGTCAGTTTGTTAATCAGAATTCTCGAAAAATATCCAGATAATTAACAAAGCGTTTAATAAGAAAAATAAGCGAAATCAATTGTCTAAATTAAAGGATAGTGGAATGTAAAAATGGACCTTTTTATCGTACAATATAACTGACGCACGGATATTAATTTGTTGCACAGATTATTTTTCGCGTAAAAATGAAGGGGCATTCATGTAATAGAAAGTTTTTTTTCTGTTTACCAAATTCTACAAAATTCTTTTCGGCAAACTACCAAATCGACCAGCAGACACCGAGGCGATGTCTTTTGTCTCGAATTTGGGATGATTTGATGAAAGAAAGTAGCAAAATATTTCTTAAAAGTTATTTTTAATTAAAGATGATACAGAGTGTACATGTCCCTTGATTTTTACCTTGGTGTTATACATGTGCCAGTTGAATATATATTGTTTAAATTATAGCTTTTGTTAGAAACTTTTTGAATTCTATATATTGTAACGGAACCTTTTTGGTTCATCTTATTTTTCAATTCCCGACTCAAAGCTGAAAATTATTTTACAAACGCTTTATGACATTTTTTGCAAAACTGAAAGCATGTCACTTTTTTCTTCGAAACAGTAATTCTCGTATTCCTCCATGGCATTACATTTCAAAAAGACCGTTTATCGGAATAGTTTTCATATCACTTTTTGTTATAAAGAGACGCAATGGCAGCGAGTCTATGATATACTATAAGGGGCTATATATAAAGTTTTGAAATTCATGTAAATTTGGAGCATTTTTAATTTAGCACTCGATTATATCAGTTCGTTACTTGGCAGTTTTTATTTCTTACCAAATTCATGGGGAGGGGGAGGGTACTATGTCAGCCATTGCCTCTGAGAAGGAAGAAGTGACAAAATATATCCTCGTTTTTTAATGCATCGTTTTGAATTTTAATACATTGGAATAAGCCCAGCTATAATCAAGTAGTTTTGTTGGTAGTTTATTTGTAAAATTGAACAAATAGAAAGGTGTACATGTTTCAGAAAATTCTCTGGGGCAGATGTAACTTTGTCTTATATATAGTGAACAATGTTAATAATAATTTCTTTTAATGAAACTTGACAGAAAGATGCCTTAAATGTATTGATGTATACATGGAAATTTATTTTGCTCTTAATAAAACTTTAGAAATCTGTGCGAAATGCCTTAGTGTTTCATTGGCTCAGTGGGTTTCTAGGGTTTGGAGTTCGAATCCTGGGTTGGGAGTTTGGAAATAAGTAGATATTTTTCAAGAAGGCCTTTTTGAATTTCCGGTTGGTTACTATAAGAGAAAAGTCTACCAGGGGTGGGTGGGCGGGAACACTTAGAGGAGTGGACAGCACGCGCGACTCGGACACAGCAACACCAGGTTCAAAACCTGGCGCTTCTAGGTCCCAGCAAATTACCTTTTGCCAAAAAATTCTAAATAGGTAATTTAAACCACGATAGAAGGATTCTTTTACCTTCTTACAAACAAGCTGAGGCAGTGGCTCAGTGGGATAGACGACAGACTCGGAAGCAGAAGAGTGAGAGTTCGAGTCGAGCTGAAGGAAAAAGAATCAGTATATTTTGACAAAAAATCTAACAAATATAAGTTTATTATTTTTCTAACGAGTTGAAACAATTTCATTATTTACAATTAGACTAAGTTAAAATGACATTTGTATTCTACATTAAAAGCAATTCCTATTTTAATTATTTTACAAGTCAAAAATGGAAAAGCTACGATCCACCAACAAGTCAGACATTCTATGCATT